CCCCCCCCCCCTCTTCCTTTTAGGGTATAAATATGCCGATAATTTAGGACTAATTAAAGACTAATTTGTACCCACAAAATTAGAATTTGTACCCGCTTAGTTCTGTCGGACAACCAATTTTTAAAGTGGGAGCTAACTTGATTTTAAGTTAGTACCCCCCTCCTCCACTTTTCCCGATTGAAATTTTATTAGTTGCATTAAAAACTATGGATTAAAGACTAATTTGTACCCTAATTGAATTTTCATAAAATCCTACATTTGATGCGATAAAAAAACTTGGAAGTTACATTTATAAAAATCTAGTTACCTTTGATTGAAAATTGACGGAGTGATTTCTTTTAACGCAAAAGAAGTTTAACTTTAGCCGTTCGGCGTATGTTAGTACATTTCATGATTAGTAATACTGTCGAGTCACGGCCTTCTCGGTTTTATGATAACTGCGATATTCAATTTTTACTGAACATCTACTTTTTGAAAAAAACGACGAATTTTAGATGTCATGTGTAATGCATAAAGTCACACTAAAATTGTCCAAGGAATCGAAATATGTAATAATATACAGAGGGTTCCATTTAAAAAATGCAACTTTGCTATAAATCACCCTGTGTACGTTTCTTTTTAAACCTTGAAGACAAAATGAAATTAGCAATAAAACGGTAACAAACGTACACATTCATTTGTTTTATTTTGATGTAGGATATCTAGATTAATGCTATTGATGTGATTGTAATAATTTTTTGAAAAGGGCTCTTGTATTAGAGTACTAACATGTTACATCATCGAAAAAAGAAAAAAATCTTTCTGAAAAGGTGCACTGCCATTTAAAAAATTCAATTGTTTTTCGTTGCTCATTTGTTTTCTGAAATAAAAACAAATGAATGCTGCTTTACTACGGGAAATAAAATGTTGAACAACTTTCATACAGAAAAATTTGTATACATTCGATATTTACAGAGATATATACTATATTCCATACATAATGGGAACCCTGTATATGTATATTTTGGAACAAAACCGCATAAATATAGAGGACTGAATCGCCCCATCCCACTCCATCGCCTATCTATTACCAGTAAATCGCCACTAGTGCGGGGCATAAAACTGTTTATTAACGAGCTCCTAGCGAGTTTATAATTTTGTTGTGTCCGTCCGTCCGTCCGTCCGTCCGTTAGCACGATAACTCATAAACGAATGGACCGATTACGATGAAATTTTGCAGGTGGATTCTTTATCAAATTTGTAGATCAGAGTTCGTGAATTGGCAATGTAGCCCAAAAAATAAAGTAGGCCCTTTTGACATCTCCGTTAGTTATGAACCGAATTGCATGAAATTCAATATGCACATAGCTTTAGCCATATAAAACACAATTCCAAAAGTTGAACCTAATCGATCAGCATTCACAGTGCCCTTTGCGCATCTCGACCATTTACAGACCGAATTGCAAACTTTCTTATTTATGAAGGTATTTAAATGAAATTTGATACATAGCCACTTGGAATAAAAGTAAATTTAACGCCAGTTTCAAAATTTGGTTTTGCGCATACGCAGCTTATTTATGGAGGCATTCAAATAAAATTTCATACATATACACTTTAAATAAAAGCAAAACTAACATCAGGTTTAAAATTTGGTTTTGCACATGCTATAGCCATACCCAGGAGCTCGTTTGCTCTATTTGTTTAATTTATTCTATTATAGAAATCCAGTTCAAGAAAAAAGTAAGACTTCCAATAGAGAAATGAGCGTATAATCTTGAAGAGGTTTAATTAGTGTGTTTAATGTTAAATGTTGTTTTTATCATTTTTATTATCTTTGTTTATGTGTATTATAGCGAATATTCTAGAAATTCCGATAGACATCGAGGGGCCATAAAAGATTAGTCATCGGCAATGAGAAACGCAAGCATTTTTCCGGGAAATATCGGGTGTTTGTTTCTTTGAGAACATTCTAGAATATTCGGGAGCGCTCCAGAATTTACAAAAAAGACCAGCCTTTGCTATATAAGCAAATCGAATTGTTTCGAGTCAGTTCTAACATCGATTCGAAGTGAAGTATAATAATAATAACTTTATTGTCTGCGATCAAGTACCTTGACAGAGACACATTAAACTCCCTCTCGTCTTATGTTATAAATTGTGAGCCTCATTGAAAGAAATTGGTTTCTACAAACTATAACTTGCATCTCCAACTCCTTTTCAAGATAAGTAGATAATGAGGAGGGGGGTGGGGGTGGGGGTTAGAAATGAATTTTATTTTTCATGGTATTCTAATGAACGAAAGGAATTAGTTTCTACCAACCACTGTCCTCCTCTTGGACCCCTGAACGTGATTGGTTCTAATATCTCTAGAGCGAAGTGTCGGAGGACGGTACTCACAAAGGGCGATTGGAAGAAATATATCCATTAGTGATGTCAAATCTTTAAGAGCGAATATCTCGAAAAGTGTGAGAAGAGGATACTGATAAAGGGCAAGGGGAAAGTCTGGCTGAGGCACATCTACTATGTGATTTTAAAACATTCAGTGCCAATATCTGCAGAGCGGAGTGTAAGAGGAGGGCAGCCTTTAAATGCTTATTACCTTAGAATCAGTTTTCCGGCTGAACCAAGCGGGTACAAATTCTAGTGTTGTGAATACAAATTATTCTTTGATTAGTCCTAAATTATAGGCATTTTTTACTTGATTTGGGCAAAGTTGGGGTGCCAACTTTATCGAACTAGTGCTAATATTTGGAAATATAAGAAATTTTACGAGCTGTACAAGGAACTTTGCGGACACCGGTCGGTGGTCTATTATAATACGTGCAAAATGTTACTGTAGGAAGCACGATATCCGATACAGATACGCGCCCTTATTGTCATCCGTATAATACAACGTGTCGAATTGCGTCGCTCGGAAATCATCCTGTTCAATTAAAACAAAATAACCGATACACAGGCATATAAGCGGACTATGTTGAAGATGAGCCATTTGTATTCTAACTGCAACGCGTTGATAATTTTATTGCTTTCGGTCTTGTCCGATTAGAATGAGACACGCGCCTCCTGGTCTCATTCACGTTATTTATCGATGTTACTACACTTTACATTACCTTTATGTATCTCGTTCCCATCGTTATGTTATA